GTATTTGGTTCTTAGGACTTAATGTATCGGTTGTTACATTATTTAAAAATTACCACATTTTACGATAGATACGAGTACACTGTTCGAGTCCGAATGAATTGTATAATGGCGTACTAACAATAAGAAAAAAGAAATGAATGAGGACAAATAGTATACATTATTTGATGGGTAATTATCATTGAAATAAACGACATGTCGTTTTTGTTCGTCGCAACTAGGATAGGTTTGGTTATGCTTAGCAAGTAAAGTACAAGTAAGTTATAAACATGTATTAATACAAATTTAAAATTTGTAAGTTATCAATATTGCGTGTAGTGAACTGAAATCCTTTAAAAGTATTTATTGTTCAAAGATATTTCAAATGCCATTGCTTTCAAATTTAAAATGATAACAATACACAATTTTCATTCAAACGAGTGTATGCTTAAAACGATGTGATCACAGTATTCTGTCCCTACTTTTTTTTTTTTAATATAATTCATCAATTTGAAAATTTAGGGTTTAAAGTTAACATTAAGCTATTTTGACAACTTGCTTTTGCTTATTAGCATATATGTAAATGCATGAACCTGGATTTTATCTTGTTAAGTTTTATTTGTATAAGCTGTCCGATGAAATAGTTAGGACGTTATATTTTAAATAAACTAGTTAACATACAAATTCAATTGAATTTTAATGAAAAACTCCATATTCAACCTCATAAAATTTTTTACGAATTTTCTCTGATGATAAATAATTTTTTACTGTAAATGAGGAAGAGAATTTAAAAAAAGCTCATTAAAAGCTATAACATTCAGAATTTAAATAATATAATTCATAGTATGTTTTATATAAATGTGTTTTTAACTTAATTCAAAAATAATTAAAAGTGTATTGAAGTAAAATTGTTTAAATCAAAGTTTTGTAACAATGGTGAATATTTGGTAAATCAAAAAAATATATATCTATATCAATCATTTTTAGTAAGTTATTTGAGTCAACTCGAGTAAACGTTTTCTGTTAAATAATCTCTACCGCGAGTAAACGAGTATTAATTATAATTTATTAACTATCAAACCTTAAAGATGCGACTAGTGAGGCTCACTATTTCGCAGGTGTATTTAATAATATTTAATCGTGCTATTTTTAATAGTTATTTATACTGAAAATTAGACATAATATTTACGACATGTGTAAACCGAAAACTAAACTTATACCAATAATTCAAACGTTGTACTGAACGTATTCGTAGACTACCATATTAAAAAGCGTCGGATGTATAATACATGTTATACATGTACCCTATAAAAAATCGAAATTATTTTTAAAGTTTTCAATATTTATTTACCATATTAATGTATACATTTACGTAATTGTTCCCGTAGGTAGTATTTATATTATACGTAGATACATTGTGGTGCGTATACCATCAAAAACTCGTATGCGCTACAACTGATGGAAACGTATTGACTTTGTTTATTTTTTCCTATTCTTGTGTATAAAAAACATCCGTAAAGGTATGTGCACCTATAGTGCAGTGTTTTGATTATTATTTTTTCATGATTCTAAAAGTAATAAAGTTCGTATAATGGCCCCGGAGGAGGGGAAACGAAAGACGGATGAATAATAATGCACAATATTACTCGTAAACAACCGCATATATTCAACCGTACACGATGTACACCCAAAGTTCGAAGCGAAGTATGTGCACGCGTTTGGCGGCGATAATTTAAAATACGAATACCCACAAATTTGTACATATATTTATATGAGGTGCAGTGGATTGAAGTCTAAGAGCTATGTACTACTCGGAATTTTATCCGTTTTACGCTGTTTCAAGAAAAATAATTAACAAAAAAATTGATATAAATATTAGCCGTTTCCTCAATTAATGTTAAAATTAAATAATAATAATATGAACGAAGGAAAAATTAAACCAATGAACAGTTGTATACTACTATAGGTAAACACTTTTGTAGGTTGTTGGATCATTATTAAAACTCGACGATTAAATGTTTTCTATGTATTTTTATGGTGATGAAATTTTTACATTAAAGCTCTGTCGAACAGAACGCGTTATTAACGCGCATGAAAGCGTTCTTAACGTCACGTGAATTACCGTCGCATTATATTCAATTCCAAGTTAAATTGGATGTCAAATATATGTTGTCGGCATGATTAACGTGGCGCTAGAACGCGACGGTAGAGCGCGACGTTGTACAAAATCACAAAATTACGCGCGGTAGTACGTTATTTTTGGCGTTCAGATAATGATTAAAGAAGGAATATCTACATAAATACGAGAAAAAATAAATGTTAATAGTGGAAAATTCGCTTCATCTTTTGTTGACTTTCGGTTAATGCGTATAAAAGTAAAAGTTCTTCTTCGTCTGAACTAACGGACATATTTTCAATATAAACCACACCTCGCAAACGTACGAACAATACTACTATATCCAGGGCTGTCCCGAAAGGGAGTCTTGGGAGGTATCTCACCTCCCCAAAAACGAAAACACCAGTCGGCAGTCGGACTTGTTTCATTATAGCCTCGAAGGACCTAATTTTACTTACGGAAAACAAATATTACATATTTCGTAATACAGCGTACACACGAATAAAATTTATATAACTACTTATTATACAATATAAAATATTATTATACAGGATATTTCTGGAATGGATGAGGACACTAGTATACGCGTACTCGCTGTGATGGCCCAAAGTAGATTTTTTGAAAATTTTGTTCAATCTCCAAAATCTTGATTTATTCAATTTATTTTTTGGACATTACTTTAAATGTAAAAATAAACACTTTGGTTGTATTTTTTGCAAAATTCTCATACGAACCGAGATGTCACACTGTTTTGGGCTTGTCACACGTTTTTCACGCTCGAGTCGCCGACTAAAAAAGAAGTCGTGTGACACATCGATTCGTATGAGAATACTTCAAGATAAACAGTGGTGATAGTAGTTTGTTGTCATTTAACACACATAATTAATTAAAACAACTTTAACATAGTAAAAAATCATAATCAAATACATTTTAATTTTAAAATAAATTTTTATTTACAAAAGTTGTTCAATGTGACTCCCGTTAACTTCTATGCACTTTTCTACACGACGATGTAATGAACTCCAAGTTTTTTCTAATATATTTGGTGTTTGACGAATGATATCAGCTACATTATTAATTCTCATCAAAAGTTCATCTCTATTATTTACTTCTTTGGCATAAACTTGTTCTTTCATAAAACTCCATAAGAAAAAGTCACATGGGTTAAAATCAGGACTGCGTGATGGCCATATTATGTATGGGCTTTATTGAGCAATGTTTCTAGCTCCTCTACCTATAAGTTTGTCAGGGAAAAGATAATGCAATTGTTGTCGGACTGCATTTGTATGATGAGGAGGTGCACCATCTAACATACACCACATTGATTCTTGTTCTTCCAATGGCACGTTCTTTAACAGTAAAATCCCTGACCATTCAATCTAGCCGGTAATGCATATCTTTTGTAAATACATAAATAATAAAATACATAATTTAAAACTCTATTTACACTAATTTTATTATTATTTCATCATTGTTATAAATCGACAATGTTAAAGCTTTTTAACTAATTATGTGTGTTAACTGACAAAAAACGACTATCACCACTGTTTATCTTGAAGTGTTTTTATACGAATTGATGTGTCACAAGACTTTTTTCTTAGTCGGCGACTCGAGCGTGAAAAACGCGCGACAAGTCCAAAAACAGTGTGACGTCTCGATTCGTATTAGAATTTTGCAAAAAATACAAATAAATCGTTTATTTTTAAATTTATGGTAATGTCCTAAAAATAAATTAAATAAACCAAGATTTTGGAGATTGAAAATAAAAATCTACTTTAGGCCATCACGGCGAGTACGCGTATACTCGTGTCCTCATCCATTCCAGATACACCCTGTATATATATATATATATATATATATATATATATGTATAATTAAATTGTCAATTTTAAGAACGTGCGACACTAACACATATATACATGTTAAAAAGTAAAAATACGACTACAAATAGTCAATTATACTACATACATGAAGTAAAAAAATTGTAGTCGGTATTTTTCATATTATTCACCTTCCTTGATTTTCATCTTTGGGACGGCATGACTATATCGACTACTAAGAACCAGTCTCTATAATGCGACGCTTTTTGTAACGTCCGCAATATGGTTAAGAACGCGACGATACTCACGCGACGTAAATAACGCGTTCTGTTTGACAAAGCCTTTAAACCTTGGGCCTGCATCTGAAACTTCGGTGCCACTGCATCGCCACTAAAACCGGCACCGAAGAGATGAACTATAGCAATATTCGACGGAGAACTGTTGTTACGGTACTCCTGTAATATCTGGTTGAGCTGCAGTTTTTATAATTGTTTTTTACTCTTCGTTTTTCGACCGGATGTCTTGCAGTTTTTTTTCTTTTTGTTCGTCCCGTTTGTTTATATGTTTCATGTACAAAAAAAAAACCGTAGTACCTAAGAGAGAGAGGGAGATAGAGAGACAAATAGATGCGGAAAGATGTTGGAAATCTACGGCCGGCCGCGACCGTTCGGTGAAGTCCGCCTGCGTGTTACCCGCCACGGCGTATCACGTACAACCGGTTTGCTGTACGTGGGCAGACGACATGTCGCGCGTCTTCCGCGACGCGAGTTGAGTTTGAGTGTTTTCGCGATCGGGTCTCAATGCCACCAAATTGAATTGCCCGCTTCACGGTACGTCGTCCGGCGTGCGCACCGCGAGTGGCGACGAGATACCGCAACTGTTTGTGCGCGCCGCCGCACCGCTACCGCGATCGCTGCCGGCCGACGGTCCAACCGGTGCGTGTCGTGTAGGAGTCAAGAGCACCGCGTCGCCGCCGCCGCCGCCGCCGACACTGCCGACGATACGGCGACCGCGGCCGACCGTTGCCGAACTATCGTGCGCGCGGCACCTGCATTCCGACCGACCAACATCGCTATCGTCATCGTATCGCGCGTCGTCGTTCCGTACTCACCGTCGTCGTCGTCGTCGTCGTCGTCTTCTCGCACGCACGCACCGCCGTTGTCGTCGTATGTTCTCATCGGAAAATGTTGTTACCAACGGTCGTTTTTTGAACACAGTCCGTTCTAAACGCTTTGCGGGTTTTTCTCTCTCTTTCACCATCGTTCGTCCGTCACAAATCGTCTCGTCGCGAATAGAATATTAACTGTGGTGGTTATTTGTTCTTCGTCTTCAACCGTTGGTTGATATCCATCGCGTGTACAACCGTACTGTTCTTCGAGATCTATTCGACGGACTTTGGCAAACACGAACCGATCATGACGCGAAGCCGTTGGCCCACGCCGTCGCTGCAACTGGTGCTGGCCTTGGTCTTGCTGTCCGGCTTCTTGACAACAGGTAAAACAATACGTTTTTTGTTCTGCAGTCCACGTTATTCGTTTACGATGCGCGTAGTTGTGACGGGCGTTGTTCACGCGCGTGATACGGTCGAAACGTGTTCGCCTCGAACGGGTCCTCCGACGTTTAACGGTGCACAGCGGATCGCGAAAACGTGTTCGCTGGGCCGTTAAGTTTGCCTCCTCCCCCGCTCGTCACCGACGGTCCGATAGTTTATGCGAAAGTCGCGCACGCACGTGGTCGGGTCGTTTTACATTCGCACGACACAGTTCTTCGACCAACGACGCACGTGTTCCCTTCACCGTCGACGTGCGTGTTGATACGATTTTTTCCCCCCTCGCATCCCATTTACATTGGCAATTAATGATATTGTTTGGTAAACGTAAATTCGCTCATGTTTCCCTAAATTAATATCATTTTTTGTTTTTTTTTCCCCTTTTGTTATTTGTTACGGCCGCGCAGCTCTTTGCACCACTGCGACCCAAACGTTTCGTCACCGGTTTAGCTGGTATGCGAGTATTATTATTGTCCGCTGTCGGACAGTCATTTGTGTGTCGATATTCGATTTCATCGAATCGCATCGATCATTATTATTTTATTTACTCTGCTCGGACGGTTTATTATTAATTGGCTGTGTAGAAACGCAGTGCATTCTGCTTATTCAAATGTTTTCGTGCCAAACGTAGATATTGCGAGGCTGAGACTCAATTCGACAGCATCATAGGTAGGTGCACTGCTGAGCGCTTGGTGTGGTGTAACTTAGCATTCCCTATAAGGATTTGTCAGTTATAAGATGTATAAAAAATCCTATAAGGATTTGCTCTGAAACGAGATAACTATCATTAAAACTATTTCAACTGCTTGAAATGTGACTATTTCGTACTTTATATTTTTTGCGAGTACACTCTGCAGGAGGTGGCCGAACATGCACGTGTTATCGCATATTTTATGTCTCGGTTAAACAGACATGCATTTTCCATCGAACTACCGAATTATAATTATATCTGTACGAGTTTGCATCTAGCGCCGGTGTCCTTTTTGCGGGACTCAGAATTTGACGTCCCATGGTGATTGCCCCTTGAACCCCCTTGAATGCGTCACTCTAAGAAACTATCCTGTGCGATATATTTGAACGGTGTGATAACGAGTTTTCTAACCGCCGTTTTTCATACTCGCAAAACAGCGAAAGCCATTATTTCTGATTAAATTGTAATAATTTAGAAACAATTTACAACCCGTACATATTTGGTAAAAAGTGATTTTTCTTTTTCTTTTATACTCTTCTGCTCATAGAAAATCATTGAATTCATCAATGTCACCAGTTTCATTAATTTCATTCTTAAACTACATGTGTTTTTGAGTAATTATCTTTCATAATAGTTGTATTACGTAACCCATATTTACTGGTTTAGTTGTTTGTTAAATATAACAAATTTATTTATTTTGTGTTCAATTAATCAAAAAAAAAAAAAAAAAAAAAAACAAGAAGAAAAAACAAATAAACTAATTTCATCGATTCCTCCTATCATAACAAAATAATTTAACATTGTGCGTGCGCGAAAGTATTTATTGGTAATTATGATTTTTTTTTCAAATGGTCTACTGGTTTTAAATATTTTTACAGATAGCAATTACTTACAGTTCAGATTCTTCCCAATTTATTATTTTAGGTTTTAAAAATAAGTATTTGTGGTTTAATGCAGAGAAAGTTGAGTTATTTTGAATTCTTTTGTTATGCTAAAAATCAATGATTTCAAATTTAAATAATGAGTCTATAACATTTCGATGTCAGACACCCGTTTTTCATGTCAATTGAATGTCCTATATGGAAAATAGATTGGCCATATGAATACCTCTCATTTCTATGGATTTCACCGGAATAATTTCATAATGGTATATAACGTATGAATTCTTGTAGCCTGTTACCCTCTAACTTAGATTATTAAAAAGTTCGCGACTCCCTCAGTTCGCGAACAATAATATATCCTTCCTACTAAATAAGAACGTTTTTTCCGAGGTTTATTTCATAATTTTGGTGCATTGAATATTCACATGTATTTTTATGATGAATTTATTTCCTTACGCATATAAACAATGAAAACAGATTTTCGTCTCTTTTGTTGTTTTAAGTTTTTGAGGTAGTATTATAATTATTCAGGAGTAAAAGATTGTTTATTTTATCGAAATTAAAATTTATAAGAACCTTAAAAAAATTTTACGATGTTATTAGATTCTGAAAATAAATGTATGTCGATGTCTGTATTTTTCTCGGCCGTCTGTGAATCTACTTGCCTTCCGGCGTCCGGTTGTTCCTCTATATTACTTTTTTCTTTCTATACCGTTGGCGCCATTATTCAATAAGTAATAATGAAACTAAATTTAATTCAATTATAACAAGATTTGAAAAAAAATTCTAAAGACCTGTTTATTTATGCAATTTAAAGTTGTTGATCGATTTTTATTTTCATTGTTCTTTATTATTTTAGATATTAATATTTTATATATAATTTCTATTATCGTATTTTACGATTTTCATTTTCCGTAAATGTTTTTATGGTTTTTAAATTATATGCGTTTATAACGAAGGTGCTGTGGTGTGACTATTGTTTTAATATTGAATCGAATAATATACTCGTAAGTATTATTCGTTTTTTCATATGTCTCCTAATGCATGTAAACATCAATTATCAAGATAGTGTTGTGTATGTTATCATCATATAGCGGCTGTGGATTTATTATATTAGTTGTAAACAATTTGTTTTAGTTTGTTTTGGAAATGGTCTTAGTGTGAACAATAAGCATTTTATAATAAATCGTCCTGAGTTGAACACGGTGTTTTCAACGGATAAGCTGTGAAACGGCTACACAATTTTTATCGTTATCGTGACTCAGGCATAATACACACAATATACTTGACTGTGTATTTTTTTCCCTCGACAACTCTCACGTTTTCTGTTTCTATGTCCAGTCGTGATGGCATCAGGCGACTCCCACGGAGTCTTTTTGGAACCGCCTAATTCTAGATCTTGTTTATTATTTTGATTTACGCGCAAAGCCCCACGTATATTGATTATGTACACTTTTGCTATCTTGGTATTATACGATTTTTTTTCGTGGGAAACGATTTTTAAAATTCGTAACGAACAAAATTAAAAATACTGTTAAAACAGTATAAGAAAAATAAGAAAAAAATGTTCGAAAAATAAACGGAAAGTTTTAATGTATCTATCGTACAATCGTAATATATTAATAGATGAATTTAATTTATTGTTCTATGTTATAAAATATGATAGTTGTAACACGCCCATAGTATTGTTTCACTTTGTAAATAAAATGACGAAATAACTCTATGGTGATTGATGAATAAGACGTGGATATTGGGTATTTTCTGTGATATTTTATCTTTTACTTTCCATTTTTTAACTAAAATATTATTTTCCATTCAAACAAAAAAAGTACAAATATTTGACGTTAGTTTAGTTCTTAAAATATAAATGAATTACACTTGTACTTAAAAATTAATATATTTTATGTTCAGAGTTCATAATTCACCATGTTTAAATATAAATAATTGTATATTGGAATCTACCATAAGAAGTTTTTTTAAGTCGTTAAATATAATGTGTTTGTAACATGATTGATATTTGAATTAAGCTATCACTTATCAATATATCACATCAATTATTTCTATAAATCAGACACTGTTATTAAGTATTTTATCAGGGAAAAAAATATTCAACAGTGATCTATTATTTATTTTTAAAAATGTTAACTGTAATTGTTTTTATAATATTTTTTTTTAAGTATTTTACTGTTTTATTCGAGATTTTATTTATAATGACAAACATTGTGTTTTTTATTAAAATAATTTTGTAACTCAAAGACAATGATTCTGGGATGTCTGTTATATAAATAATATGGAGTTCCATGTATTTATATACTAAAAATGATAACTATAATTCTGCGAGTGAAAATATTTTGCAATAATAAATAAATAATAAACTAAATTTGTTCTCGAGTTGTTTTTGGTTTTTTCTTTCAGAAAAAATATTCGAACTTTCTTATTGTATATTTAGAGAAATCTTTTACAGGAGATTGAATTAAGAGAATTGTTTTAAAACATGATATAAAAAGAAGAATGTAGATATTTAAAAAATAAAAGTTAAATAAAATCTCCTAGTTATTTTTATAATATATACATATATGGTGGTTTTAAGGAAGTGTGTGTGTATATATATATATATACACACATGGGAGTATTCAACTTATAAGTAGATATGAATTGTTTTTAAAGGGATTTTTTCATAAGATGGTAGAATAAGAATGACTTTTAACTTTATACTAAAAACCATTCCATATAACTTTTAAATTATTGCCTTTACAAAATAAAACTACATTGGTTGTGATGTATTGTAATTCTTTTCTTGTGTTTTGCTTTTCACTTCTTTTTTAGGATATTTTAAGTTGGAATAAAATAAATCATTCATTCGTGTATATGGGTAATATTTATTTCCCATACAGCTCAATAAGATTAATATCTCAGTACGATTCAGAATTCGGATGAATTTAAATACTTTTTAAGTATTAGGTTGAATGTTTGAAAGAGAATTCTCTTTCAAATTATTCGTTTTTAATTATTTTACACGGTAAATTTATTAATATTTATATGTTCATTCTTATTGTAAGTACGTCACATTTTACTTGTGTGTTTTATTTATAATCTTAAAGCAAAATATAACTTGGTAACATGATGGGTAAAATACAAATATTTCGTTTTTTAGTACAAAAATACTGTCAATATAATATTATGATTAGGCATGTTATTATAGGTTAAATAATATTGATATTAATTCGGATACTGTTAGTTACGTTCGTACAACTTCATTCATGTCTGTGACTAACAAAATTAATTTGATAAAGCGGCATCTTGAAAAAAAAATATTGAATAAAAAACATATATATATATAATCATTTTTTTACGTCTTATAGTTGACTTTTTA